TGGAAGGATACGATCCGAGTAAACCCGACACTCACATATTATATCTCGACGCTAACAATTTGTACGGATGGGCTATGAGTCAACCTTTACCCACGGGTGGTTTTGAATGGGTCGATGAGAATAATATCCATAATAATGATGCGAATAAAGGGTACATACTAGAAGTTGACTTGGAATATCCAAGTTCGTTACATAAAGACCATAACAGTTATCCGCTAGCTCCCGAAAGATTAATGGTTAATAAAGATTGGATGTCGGAATATCAACGCTCCTTGATGGGTAATAGTAGGTTAGCTAATGTAGAAAAACTCGTACCAAATTTGATGGATAAGACAAAATATATAGTTCACTACAGAAATCTCCATTTGTATCTATCGTTAGGTATGAAACTTAAGAAAATACACAGAGTTCTAAAGTTCGATCAAAGCCCTTGGATGGAGCCCTATATAAGGTTGAACACAGATTTAAGAAAGATAGCTACCAGCGATTTCGAAAAGAATCTGTATAAGCTCATGAATAACTCAGTATTTGGTAAAACTATGGAGAATCTAAGGAAGCGTGTTGATGTTAAATTAGTCAGATCTAATGAGGAAGAAAGACTCAGGAAACTTATAGCCAGTCCGGCTTTTAACAGAAGCAAGATATTTGATAACGACTTAGCCGCGTTGCATATGCAGAAGAGTAATATAAAATTCAACAGACCGGTGTACGTCGGTATGAGTATTCTCGACTTGTCAAAACACTTAATGTATGACTTTTATTACAACGAACTTAAGAAGCAGTACGGCGATAGATGCGAGGTGTTATATACCGACACAGATTCTTTGTTGATGGAAATACAAACCGAGGATGTGTATAAAGATATGGCAGAAAAAAAAGATATGTACGACACGAGCGATTATCCTAAAGATAATCCACTGCACAGCGTTGTAAATAAAAAGGTATTAGGTAAGATGAAGGATGAATGTGCTGGGACCCCTATAGCGGAGTATGTAGGATTAAGACCTAAGATGTATTCTATAAAGAAGTCCGATAATGGAGAGATAAGAAAAGCTAAAGGCGTTAAGAAGTATGTTGTAAAAAAGCATATGAAGCACGAACAGTATAAAGAATCATTATTCAACGGTAGAACGTTCAAACACGAGATGAACTCTTTAAGAAGTTACAATCATAGGATATATAGATTAAGAATGAACAAGACATCATTATCCCCCTTAGATACAAAGAGATGGATTGATAATGATGGTGTAACTACCTATGCTTATGGTTATGGTGGTAATACCGTACCGTCGGGAACTATGAACAACTCTTCTCATACAAATGCCCTACCCGGTCCATCTTGAAGATAATAAAGAATAGGCTCTCCTTCTTTCGTAACCAATCGACTAATGTTATACGTCTTAAGGGACCATATGGGATCGGTTGCGCGACGTAGGCCTCCTTCGAGTTCACCTGCCTGGTATAAATATCTTACCCTTACTCTGTCCGGAAGTTTTCGTTCTTTGCCTCTCCTCGGTGCTGAAGATTCGGAAGTCACGGATTTCATTTTAATAGCATCGGATGGTTTCTTCCCGATTAATCTCGTTACTTCGTTATTAAGTGCTGATACAACAGCTGATAATCGTGTCACCCATTCAGTTGATCTTAATCGATCCGATTTCATTTCAATCCCATACTGATAGCCAAACAAACGTTCCGGTAATGTCCTGTTAAATCTTTCAACGATAGCTTGACTACGGTGGGCCTCTTTTTCACCACGGACGATTTCGACATCGTTCTTTGTTAACAGTTTAGTTACCGATCCCATAAACTCGCGACCAGGATCTACTTGAAAAAGCTTGGGCCATTTTAGTGGTCCGCGTTTATATATGCGACTCAGTGCATTAGCTACCTCTGTTGATTCTTTCGATGTTAATGGCTCAGCCTCTTTGTATCGACTAGCCACATCCACTACGGTTAAAGCGTATTTATACGTTTTGCGTTTTACGTTATCGTGGGGAAGAAACAAGAGGTCAGCCTGATGAACTTCATTCGTTGTAAAAATATCAAACTTCTTCCTCGGTATATAACGCGGTGCCAGTAAATATATCTACCACATCGCTTGTTTCTTTAACCAATCCTTGGCCACATCTTTAGATACCTTAGCCGCGGTGGCTAATTTTTTTATTGCTCCTACACCTTTCCAATATCCTCGTGGGCTATAGTAAATTTTATCCATTATTAATTAATATTGATGTTTCGTTTAATACATCTTATGACTATCGTTAAATCACATCATCATTTACGCATACAAAATTCCATCTGTAGTAGCAGTATAGGTATATGAATCCGGCTCCAGTGGAAGTGGTCCAGAACCATCATTACCTATAAAAATTTATATCATAGACTCCAGGTGGTGGTGAGCTAGAGCCAATTTAACTGAATCTTATGACTATCGTTGAATCGCATAGTCATTTTGGCATAAAAAATTCCTCCTGTAGTGGTGGTATAGGTATATGAATCCTGCTCCAGTGGAAGTGGTCCAGAACCATCATTACCTATACTACTGCTAAGCATGTTTAAAACTTTTTTTTATACCACAACACATTATTACAGTCTACAAATGTGGTAACATCTTACAGACATAACCCTTAAAATTCAGTATTGCAGCAGATAACAGCACAAAATATTTTACATGGTTATAAAACATCAACACCAAAGAATAACCAGTCTCTAATATCCACCAATACAGATTCTATCGGATTTAACCGCAGAATAGCAGTGAAAAGTATATGAATAGAACACTGAAAATCAGTAAGAATGGTTAACATGTCCTAGCTGCCCTACTGATAACACCTGCCACTCACAAAATTTGCATAAACGTAAGCGTTGTATGATGCCTTTCATGAGCCGGTTGTCTTTAAAGAGACCAGAGAATCAAGTAATGGACCAGACAGAAAATCCAGTAACACGATAAAGCATTCACTGCTTTTTGTGAAAACCAAAAACTGATATATTCATTTTGAATAACGTCTGCCGTGTACAAGTGCAGACGTGTGTTTGGAACGCAGCATGGCTTCATTGCCACAATATTATTTTTATGCCCTGACTAAAGATATTTCTCGTTTACATCTCAGTCCTATTCATTTGTTGTTACTTTTGACTACCTTTTACAGTCTAGTCATACCACTGTACGAGGTTTGTGGTTTGAGTGACATCCTCTTATGAAGAATCATGTATGTAATAGTACACTCGTTGGGTATTGAGAGCAATATAAATATTTTGATATATGTCACATTATGAGGTTTAGTTACCTTTATGTAGTCTTTGAATGACATTCAAAAGTGATACACATAAAGAAGAGAATTTATGGATGTTGACTTCTTTGTTATGAGAAACACAACATTTTGGAGTAAATACTTACTCCTTCATCCGTTGAATTCATGCTGTAAAGCACAGAACATATATATGTACCTGTAAGAACAACAAAAGTAATAAGATAATAAAGGTGGAAACTAAGCAAGGGAAGCCAACAGTTAATTGGCGCTGATTTGTTAGCAGGTTTAAGGTCTATTTTGTTGACAGAGGCCTGATGTTCTTTGAGTATGGCATTGAGGGATCTGAGGGTTTCTCTAATGTATTGGTGGCCACAGTTGCAGGGGATCTCGCATATACAATTATACATCCTCTGGGATTGGGACTTAATTGTGCTGCTGGTGCCTCTCCTATTGGCCCGGAGACAGTTAATTGTTCCATTTGTCCATTGCTTATCACCTATCATCGCAAATTAACTGTTGACTTCCCTTGTGAAGTTTACACTTTTGTTATCGTATGACTTTTGTTCTTACAGGAAAATATATATGTTCTCTGCTTCATGGAGAAAATATATACTCCCAAACATTGTGTTCCTCATGATAAAGAAGTTGACGACCGTAAATTCTTTTCCTTATATACATCTATGTGTCTTGAGATTGAGTCCACAGTATAATCTTATTGTCCATTTTGAGTGGGAGCAGCTATTTTGATCTTGTTGTGCACATTGTTTGTTTGTTTCTTGTATATTCTATAGGGCTTAACCAAGCATACCCAGAACCAGTATTGAAAGTTGTAGGTGCAATTGTAGCTTTTTTAATACTATTTATGTATTAATTTAGAACTTGACCTTCAAAGTGACATTGACCTTCAAATGTACCTTCTACGTGGTTTGAATAATCATTGATTTTAGGCAAACCTTCAATAATATCCTACATAGAAAAGGTATTTGCAAACGATGATATGTATGTGTTGTATAAATCTGTTATTAATGAAATTAGCAATGGGAATATAAAAATTGCACATTTACAAAATGGGGTCGGGGTAACCAATTTTTGAAAAGATTATCGAAGCTATGTGGAATATGAACACTGCTGTCTCATCATAAGATGTGTCAGATCATTTTGTGATATCAAATGGCTTGGTTGATAATACTAATAATTCATAACCGCTCATTTTCCAATAATTGGAAAATGAAAATAAAGCAAAATTTACCATATTTTGGCTTATTTTTACTAATATCTCAATTTGTGAGAAGCTATAATTAAAAAAATAATAATAATTCATGTCTTCTATGTGTTAACTATCACATAAATGATAAAAATAAAGACTCAGTACATCTTTTAAGGGGACTTTATTTGATTTTCTCTATTTTTACATAATAAAAGTGCATTTTGACCCCAAAACAGTATCTGCCACCAAAACATTTGACCACGACCATCATTTTCTAGTTCGTTGGATACAATAACATCAGGAAAATCTAAGTTTGCCTTGTTTTACTTAGGGGAGGGGTATGTCGGCAGGGTCTGGCCACTACTCTACTACTTATCATTAGAGCCCAGTATATCCCTATATGACAGGTTACTATGTAGATTCAGGAATTAGTTTTCCCATATATCAAATATAACAAAAACACACAACAAAAATTATGTTATTTTCGGACATATGCCTGAGAGTAATGTATATCAATGATAATGTTTTCTACATAGGAAAAAAGACAGTCACCTCAACAGGGAAAGGGAAAACTGAAGTGAAAGCAGAGCAAGCAAAGCCGAAGAAGAAAATCTGGACCAAAGATGATGCTGCTGCTAGAACAATCCAAACATCATATAGAAGATTTCAAGCAAAGATCTTTCTGGAAAGAAAGAAAAAGGAAAAACAAGAATATGATGAACTGATGAATAAACTTGAGAAAGAGGTAACATACAAAACACATAAATTGGTGAAGAATGTTTAACTGCATGTGAGATAAGATTCCTACAAAAACATACCCTCTATATATACATCCTCTCATTTACTTTATATGTCCGCAGATAAGCCAAATTTTGAGGACCAGAAAAAATATTCTGTAGAAAGGGATCGGCTTATCCACGGGAAACACTTTCATAATAGTATTTTTCAGATCAAGATCTGTCCAAAACATCGCCTGAATGACGGTCCAATAGTTTACAAATTCCTTAAAGTTTGAAAGTTGCGACAACTACAGCCATTATTGTTATAAATGATCAAATAAGTTATTATTATACACCAATGTTGTCTTTATAAATAAGTTTATGCATGTTACTATTTCAGATCATAAGTTTTCAAATGTTCAAGGTTTATGGTTCTTTATAAACTCCACGATCGTTACATATAACAGTATAATCCACAGAAATATGTGGTCAACTGTTTCCTGTGAACACTGTTTATAAAGCAACATGATACACAAGGAAATGTTCACTGATAATAACGGGGCCAATTTGTATTGTCATTTGTTAACACAAACACTTTCAAGTTGTTGGTGCTTAGCGGTTGTGTTAGGAGTAATGGCTAAATTCCTTTGTTTTCCAGAGATTAGCTTAAAGCTCTGCACGCTAATGTCGAACCCATTCGATAGAGGTGTCACTTCCCGTGCATCTGATGTCAAATCAATTTGTCAGGCTAATAGCATAACGACACCCCAAAATAAAACTCGCCATATCTATTCACCAAGAAGGCTTTGCGTAACATTTAAATTACGTATGACATGCATAAATGCTCAGCTTGCTCAATATCAAAACTTTCAGTAATTTATTTACCTCAAAAAGAAAATATCGCAAGTTAAAAAAGTTTTGGCCAAACTTCTCAGCACACAACTACCAGAAACGGCCATTGTTGACTTTTGGCACTTCACGTTGAGCGGCCTGCACTCCGATATTTTCGTTATAATTTCATCATTTTTCCTATTCGCATGAAACGCAAACTGCCTTCAATAACACAATTCAGGTAAGTTCAAGAAAATTTACAAATTTTGTGTTCGCTTTGGTCTTAACTTTGGTATGATTGAAAACATCGGGATATTTTTATATAGTACTGTGTAGTTTTCCATCAGGAATAAATGTGCAAAATATTTCTTCAATTGGCCCTTGTTTAATGAGGCACCGACTGTTTGAAATCACCCACCCTCTTCAGAGGGCCTCATGCTAAAATTAATCTAGCAGGCAGGGGTAAGAAGTGAGAAAATAATTCAGCAGGCTAAAGGTTACTAAACTGGAGAAGCCTGTGAGTAAGTGATAGTCATTCAATGTGTTCATAGTTTATTTAATTCAACTAGATTAACATACAATAGTTGCGGCAATGTTTGTTGTTAAATTGAAGCAAATTGGTGAGGTACTGCATAGGGGTATAAAAGTTGGTATATTTCTACTGACTGACATTCTCGTCATGATGGAGTTCGAAACAAAAATGCCATGCTTAAGATGCTGCATTCAAACTCTGAGTCGTCGCTCTAGCTGAGACAACAAACAATTTATTATTTGCTGGTACATTTTCTCACAGGTTCATAATTCTATGTGCACCAATTCACAAAATGGCGTCTCATTGCTGATGGTAACATAACAATCATTATGAGGTCACTATGAAATCTTCTATCTATGAAGTTCTTTTCACTGTCAACTACCAGTATTCATAATCAGTTTTGAGTGATCATGACACCAAAACTTTCTCCCTTCCCAAGCGGCAAAGCGTGACTTCTTTCCCCTTGTGTGCTAATGACAACAGTATAAAACTTTTAAGAGTTGTCTTAGCACAAAAGTTCACACAGTAAATGTATACTAATTATCAAGTTTGATATGTTCATTTTTGTCTTCTGACACATTTACAACAAGTGCAAAAGTGAGCGTGGCTCACTAATACCCCCGACCCGCCTAGTGTGTCAGTAGTTACAAATTAAATAGCTAGGAAAGGGTTAACTTAGGGTTTGAAAAATTCATGAAAACAATTTTTGTTCTTTTGACTGCACCCCTCCATATGACACAGATTATATGTACTAAGTTTGAGATGAATCCAATGAATAGTTTAAGAGAAATTGCGAGGACAAAGTTTTCGGACGGACGTTAGGGTTTGAAAAATTCATAAAAAAATGGAAAATTAATGAAAACAATTTTTTTCTTTTGACTGCACCCCTCCATATGACACAGATTATATGTACTAAGTTTGAGATGCATCCACTGAATAGTTTAAGAGAAATCGCGCGGACAAAGTTTTTGCACGGACGTTAGGGTTTGAAAAATTCATACAAAAATGGAAAATTAATAAAAACATTTTTTTTCTTTTGACTGCACCCCTCCATATGACACAGATTATATGTACTAAGTTTGAGATAAATCCACTGAATAGTTTAAGAGAAATCACGCGGACAAAGTTTTCGGACGGACGTTAGGGTTTGAAAAATTCATAAAAAAATGGAAAATTAATGAAAACAATTTTTTTCTTTTGACTGCACCCCTCCATATGACACAGATTATATGTACTAAGTTTGAGATGAATCCACTGAATAGTTTAAGAGAAATCGTGCGGACAAAGTTTTCGGACGGACGGACAGACGGACGGACGGACGTAATCTTGGTATAACTATAACTATATACCCCCGACATTTTGTCGGGGTATAATAAAATTCCTTCTGCACAGAGGACGATAGATGTTCCAAGTATGTGTCTCTATCACAAGACAACTTTTTTGAAGATCTTGGAAAAATGTCTGAGAGGCATGAGGCAACTTAAAAGTAGGTTGACCTCATCAAAACTCCCCAAGCTAAGATCAGTCCAAGGAAGAGGAAGACACCTAAATCAAATTGTAACAAATCTAAGTCTCCCTCTATGATGATGCTCCACCTGAGATGTTGCGGTAGAGGTACTTCAGATGCTGCTTCATGGTAATTACACTTCCTTGGTCGAGTTACAAGAATCTTGTTATAAACCAAGGTGATGAATATATTGGAAATGGAGACAGATTGCCTCTCCTTTCAATCAAGCATTGAGCATAGCACACGCATGACTGTGTGTTACCTCATCAACTAACTTTAGATGAGGACTTTTAGAAACTAGATGAATTTCCTTCCATGCTACCATACCATTGCCTTGGAATAGGGTATGTGATGTGTAAACTCAAATAATCTATATGTCATGGATATCAGAGCATATTATGCCACCACTGGAAAAATCATCTGTTGGGATTCCTGGAGATGCCCCGGGATATGCATACATACTGACCAGGTTGGTTTGTTGTACGGATTTTTTAATCAAAATGTGATAAGATTTACTTAGCATCCAGATGTGGACCATCCATCCAGATAACAGTCAACATCTTTCTCAAGTGGAAACAAGGGAGGTTACAAAGCAGTCAGTCATGTCTCAAACTATTGCAGCACCCCAACTGTTTTATGGCACTATCATTCTCATTGCGCCGGTATCATCAGCTCGGACTTAGTTTCCGAGATTGTTTCCGTTGCCCCTTTAAGAACCTCTCCGACAACCAGAACGTGAAAATCTCCTCCAGATCAGACATCACATATGACAGCCTACATGCTCTCCATCTTCACCCTTGGTAATTATTGCGGAAAATGCAACACTTAAGCTTTTCCATATTGACTGCAGAAGCAGTTGTTATTCAATCATGAAGACCATCTTTGTTGGCCATCTACGACAACAGATGGAACAAGTTCTGCCTGTGGCGCAGGCAAGGAAGATTGGATGTAGGACCTGTCACTATAATAATACCCATGGAAGAGAACTTTTTACTTTATTTATCTCCATCAGGATGGTACTTTCCATCACGGCATGATTGAAGGATACCGTTCTGCCCTAATATCAGTGCTACGACATGATAGGTCATCAATTGGAGATCTTATCTTTAACTGGATCAGGAGATTTTTTCTTATCAGAGGAAAGTTCACACCTCTTCCCAAAATGGAATATCTCAGTTGCTTTGTCTGCTCTCTTGGAAGATCCATTTGAACCATTTGCATCTGCCATATTATAGCAAATAACTAAGAAAACAGCATTCCTTTTGGCAATGCTCTCAACTTCTTGGGTTTCACACAGCCAAGGATTGAAGTTTCATTACTATCATGACCTTTCCATAGTTTGTGGCAAAGAACTAATTTAGAGCTCTGGGATGTTTAGGGGTTTGACAAAACACAATTCTTGCTCTTAGCAAAGATATTGGATTCGGGCTCTCCGATTCTATCTAGCAGCAACAAACTGTATTAAAGAGCCAGGAAACATCTTTTGGATAAAGACAGTGTTTGCATTGTGTTCCAAAATAATGGGGTCCCCTGGGACGCGATAGTTGCGAGCGCAGTAGGTGCGAAGCTATCTAGGGGGTTTTGGGGGCATGCCCCCCAAGAAATTTTGATAAATGTGGACCTGAAATGGTGAACTTTAGGCCATTCTGAGCATAAATAAGTGTGTGGTTAAAATCTTTATGTGTCAGTAAATGTTAGTCTTGTAAAACATCTTTGCAACTACATGTTATACACCATTTGAAAGGCCTAATCCTACTGTTTATACATATTTATGTTCATCACATTATTTAAATAAAGCATTTACAACTTAAGCATTTAAGTAAGTTGTAAATAAAAACAAATGTAAGCTAACACATTCAAACGACCAGATTGAGGACCAAGGAAGGGAAAATTTGATGATTTTTGTCAAATATAAACAAACATAAAATCCACTTACCTATTTCATTTTTATTTTCATTGTTTACCTGATCGGAAAAGTATTTTATAAATAATTGTAAATAGTATCCCTCATCACCAATTCCTCAATACCAGCGGCTGTTAGTAACATGAAGAAATATGTCCGTTTTCGAAGCTTCGTATTAGAAAGTTTATTTTTTCATCTACACTAACCTCACCCAGTCTTTTCGGAGCTGTAACGTGCTTTCTTGCCGATATCT